AACATCATTGATGCGTGGCAAGTAGTCTCCCAGTCACGACGAAGACCAAGACATTCACTGATTCAGGACGTTATCTCTCATCTGACTTTCGCCAAACATACACTTTATTATTTTTTCCAAGCCTCTCGGATCCGTTTTAGATACTTCTGGATTGTGCTAATATTAATTCCGCGCGCGTTTCAATTTTGTTACGATGATTTCTTTTTGCTCCTTGGTGAGTTCCTTACCGTGATATGCCATGTTGCCTGGCAGACGATTTTTTGTTTACCTAAGGGGAATAATCCAAACTTACGTGCACCTGTAGGGAGATTGTAATATCAGAATGAAACTTTTTTTGTTTTTTAGGAAATTTGAACCAAATTTCAATTAATTCTAACACGGTAGAAGGAAATTAATAAAGACAAATTTACCCATAGAAAGGTTTCATGAAGGACTATGACGACTCTGTTTTGCAAACTCATTCACTATTTCTTAGATAATCTGCGTGAATAATCCTTTCTGTATAGTCCTGGGGAGAAATGCAAAATTCTTATTGACAATCGTTCATAAAAAGAACCCACTTCTAACAGGTTAATAAACAAGCAGGTGAAAAATACACTAATGATAATTAAAGTCTGATATTATTTTGTTTTCAATAATGCTCATAATGCAATGTAGATGCTCGGTCTTCACATCTTTCGCTTGTATATGAGAAAATAAGAAAATTACATCACATTCGTGTTATGTTGAATATGAACAGCCAAATATACAGATAACATGATCTACGACAGTTTTATTAAAAGTACATTTAAAGTTCCAAATCATAATTAGTACAGCATCAGTTAATAACGACAGAGACATATGTCTCTGATAACGATATATAGTTGTGTTGGTAATCTTCTTTCTGGTAATGAAATTGCTAGAGCCAGAAAAAAATAATTCTTCTTTGGATAAACTCATTAGAAAAGAGTCCCTCTGAAAAAAATCACAATAAGTTTTGTAAATATACACTTGGAGTAAAGAAATGTGCCAGTAACATGGCCTCTAGATCTGAATTAGGAAGAGTTAGACCCCCACCCCACCCCCCACCCCCTTATTGTTTTATTGCCACACAATCACTTTTGTATGAAGACCGACTTGTGAGTGAAAACTCATCTGATTGACTTAAAGAGTGTTATTCTCTTTCAAGGTCAATTCATGATCAAGGTATATACTCATGGTACTCATATGTAAATCATATTAGGTCCGACAATAATATTATCAAACCCAAAGATAAAGATAAAACAAAAACAGAGCCTTAAAGAATCTTAAATCTTAAAAAACTCCTTTTGTTTAAACACATACAAACCGGCTGAATATAAACAAGACCTTTATTTTACATACCCCAATCTTGATACAAGAAAACTTATATGCAAATTTAGAATTAGTGATCAATCCCTTGCTGTTGAAACAAGTAGATATAAAAATATTCCACGTCCTCAAAGACTTCGTAATAAGTGCAAAGTTCTAGGTGATGAATCCCATATTTTTTTTTTTTTTTTATTATGTAAAATAAATAATGATTTAAAACATATCTTTTTTAACGATTTAAAAAACCAATACGAAGATTTTTCTGATAATGAAATGAAAAATATTCTAAATCCAACTACTAGCCACCAAGTGAAATATTTAGGCTCCTTTATTAAACAGTCTATGGAACTGAGGACATGGGCCACTTGATGTCATTTGTTGTGTTGTGTGTTCAATATTTTATTTTTATGTAAATGTCATGATTATATTGCTGTTACATGTTATTGTAATTGTTAAATTTGTAAATTGTAAATGCCTTTGACCCTCTTATGGGTGTAATTTGTGTTTAATAAAGTTTATTTAGTGTATTATTGTTGAAAAAAACAAAGAGATACAAAAGACAGAAAAATAACTGTGTTATTATCATTGATATGGTCACAATTATAAATTCCCTGTTTACAACACTTTGAAATATTAAGAATTTTCTACCCTTTAGGAATAGATTACCTATGCTGTATTGTTCTATCCTATAGGAATAGATTACCTATGCTGTATTGTTCTACCCTATAGGAATAGATTACCTATGCTGTATTGTTCTACCCTATAGGAATAGGTTACCTATGCTGTATTGTTCTACCCTATAGGAATAGATTACCTATGCTGTATTTTCTACCCTATAGGAATAGATTACTTATGCTGTATTTTCTACTCTATTGGAATAGATTACCTATGCTGTATTTTCTACCCTATAAGAATAGATTACCTATGCTGTATTTTTCTACCCTATAGGAATAGATTACCTATGCTGTATTTTCTACCCTATAGGAATAGATTACCTATGCTGTATTTGGCAAAACCTTTCGAAATTTTTGGTCTTCAATGCTCTTCAAATTCGTACTTTTTTGGGCCTTTTTAATTTTTTTATAGGCCCATACAACAACTCATTATTTGTATACAGACTTTAAATATCACATGAAGTAAATTTACATTAGGGTTCTTCATATTTTTTTCATTAATTTGATAGAGTTATATTTTACACACTATATTTTACATGTAGGACAAAAAACATTGTGTGTTTAACTAAGCGTGAACTAAACCAATTTAAGTTATAAGCTGTATATATGTTGTGTACAAATTGTAATGTTGTACAAATTATAATTTGTACAGTATTTTTGTACAAGTTATCAGTATTTTGTGAATCTTATTACATAATTAGATAAAATAAACACAGTGTCTTTGGTTAAGCTTATCACTGTTTTATTTCTACAACTACATGCTACAGTCTTGCACATAGTACTGACACAAAGTTTATATAAAAACGCTAAAATATATTTTGTGGACATAGAATTTGGTATTAGTCAAAAAATAATCAAAGTACTGAAGTACTGAACATCGGATGACCGCAAGTTCTTGTGGCTGGTCAAAATCACATCTCTTTACCTGAAACTGAGGTTAATGTACAGAGATATATTTTTTCTGAGACAAGTTCGTGCGTGGATGATGAATAAATGACAGGAAATTCAACCTCACCGTAATAACTATTATATTGTAGATGTATTTATAACAAACGATAAGGAATGTTCGTTTGCACTAGTTTAATATCCGCGTATTTATCATGTTTATAGATCGGTTACAATCCCAAAACGAAAGTTACGTGTGCAAAATTTAGGCGATAGCAATACATCGGAATGACCTCACGGTCATCTTATGTAAAAATATAATCTAAACCAATTGGGTGTCCTTATTTGTGGTTTTATGACATAGAGGACAGTGCTTAATGTTAGGTTGAAGTATATAAATTTGTGAGTAAAACATCGAACTGGATAATTATTGAAGATAAACTTGTATCACTTTGTGAAAGAAAGTGTGTGTCAAAATACTGATAACTTGTACAAAAACCCTTTACACATTATAATTTGTACGAAATTACAACTTGTACACACCATATATATATACACACTCTGTAACACAGAGTCTTCTATTTTCTTGCAAAGTTATATTTTAGAGCTGAAACACCAAATGGCAATTGTATTCTATCCGAAGAATGTTTTAGGAATTTTCGGTTTACATAGTTGATATATACCTTCTTTCGAACTGCTTCCTCAGTTTGCATACAGTCTTTTCTGTATGTTTTGTATATTTTACTTCCAAATATATTTGTTTAAAAAAGAAAAGATATGACAACTTATAATTGATAACGTGTAAATGGTTCAGTTTCCACAAGAAAACGTTAAATATATTATCGGCCTTTATATGTTTATTATATATTGTTCCGGACCATATGAGTATGTGGATCATACGCGTATGGTCATGATCATATGCGTATATACTCATATGGTCGATAATTAACATGATGCACGTTGAAAAGGTGTCCCATAAATAAAGTTTCTGAAAATGAAATTTTGACTTGTTCAATCATAATATGGTAATCATTGTTTCATGATTAATTGCATAAAATGAATGTTACTCACAAGTAAGAACTATAGTAAAATCAATGTTACTTGGTCAATATCAATTTGTCCTTACGAAACACAATATTTCGACTTTGGAAAATAACTTCGAGACTGTTAAACAAAAAGTCAATTGCTTAACTCTCAGGAACTTTGGTTATTGAACCCTCTTTCTTTTCTTTTTCAAAATTTATTTTTGTGTTTAAATATGTTTTATTAAATTAGAATTTCTTCAATATTTCAAATTGATTGAGTAATAATTGTATGTGTTCTTGCCTCCATTCATACCACTTACAATATCAGTAAGATTGTACAAATAGGAACAAGAACACATCGATTAAATGAAAATAAGTAGAAATATTAATTTAAACACTAAGAAAAAGGGTCCATGCCACAAACTGATGTGGTTTCACTAACGGTCGGAAAAGTCGACAGGATAAAAGCGCTTTCAATTGACTCTAGCGAAGGCAATATAACAGATACACCAATATTCAGACAATATGTAAAGGATAAAAGAATACAATTAGTAACATGTGCCTTTTTGAGTTTGGAGAATGTGCCGTGTTTTCCTGCGAAGGAAGTTAATATTTATTCGAAAAATACCTATATGGTTTAAATACACGTATGGTCCAGCCCGTTAATAACCATATGAGTATACGCATATGGCCATGACCATACGCGTATGGTTCAAATACTCATATGGTCCGGAACATATACAAGAAAAAAAGGCAGTAAAATAGACAATACTTAAAAATTGAAGTAAAATACTCAATATATTCAAGTATCATAAACTTGAATATTGAAGTAAAATACTCAATATATTTAAGTATCATAAACTTGAATATTGTAGTAAAATACTTAATATTATATTCAAGTATCATAAACTTGAATATTGAAAAGTGAAAACATTTACTTTTCCCTTTTCATCATGACTTTTGAATAGTGCAAAGTGAAAATACCCTCCGTATGGTCTCGTATTTATATAACTTTCACTTGATTGTCAGAAAATGTCGAGTACGAGTAAGAACGTGACTAATTATGCAACTATAACTTTACTTTCAGATAACGATGGTGATGGGCGGATTGATGAAGACTGCACATGTTGCGGAGAATTACTGAAAAGTATGTATAAAAACTCGGGACTTACAGGGCTTCATCTAATAAAAAAAAATAAAATTATATTTTTGAAAATATTACGGACCATATCTCACATCCAATATTTTCAGCAATGCCAGAAAACATCAACTTAAATTCATATCATGCCTTTCATGGTCTCAAGGGAATGCGGCTATTCAATCCTTGTGATAGGTAGGGTCCAGCTCTCTGAGATATTCAACACCCGACCATTTTCATATATTTCGAAAATTAAGAAATACATACTCTACCATCATATGTTTTGACAAGGTTCCTGGTTACCTATTTATTTTTAAAGATGTTACAAAGCCCCTATCACTTATTGTCATAGTAAATGCCTTTTCAGCGACTAACCTTTCCTTCTAGTCTTGCTTATCCCATTACTATCTTTTGTTTATATGAAAGAAATATCAAATCAGACGAATTGTCAGTCTGTTTGTAATCGAGAAAATACTGATATTTTTTTTTCGCTTACTGAAGGTTACATTCTTGAGTTCTCTGTAAGTAACTGTACTTATTTTACTATCTTTGATATTTTGTATACTTTGTATGTTGATGTTACAGTGCAAATTGGAATTCCAATATATACTAGTACATATTATGATTCAGATTTATACTAATTAAAATCCAGTACAAATCAGAATAACGATATATTCCAATAGCCAGATGTGTGCTAAGAGGATTCTGGACACCACAAACTGCCCAAAGCAAACAAATTGTACAAGAACTGATAGGAGAAAGCTCTGATTCAACAGTTATCGCATTTACAGATGGCTCCTGTCAGGGAAATCCAGGACCATGTGGAGCAGGAGCAGTAATATATACTGAGAACCATGCACCAAGAAACAAGCTTAAAAAGACCAGTAGCTAGTAGAGGCTCCATACTCTTAGCGAAACTAGTAGCTATCCTAATGGTCTTGGAACACTGCATTTACACACTTAGAGAACAGTTCACTGAAGTAAAGATTCTATCAGATAGCCAGACAGCTGTTGGCATCTTGACTCTCAACTGGAAGTCAACTAACTACATCGACACTATCACAGACATTAAAGAAAGCATTGAGACCCTCCTGAGAGGCGGCATACAAACTACCCTATCTTGGATCCCAGGCCATGATAATATAGCCGGGAACGAGATAGCGGACCAGTTAGCAAAAGATGCAGCACAGGAGGCCTCAAGTCTAAATGACCAGTACAACGTCATAACAATGTCAGATGTGAAAAGTGCAGTCAAGATGTCAACAAAACTTAATGGCAAAATAGATGGACTAGAAGTGAAACTGAGAGAAAACTACATGCATTAGTTCCTATTGTAGGTAAGACCCATCCACTTGATTATTCGAACCCAGTTATAGGGAGAATCATGTCGGAATTAAGAACAGGCTACAATAGACTAAATAAATACCGCCATCAGATAGGCCAATTCCTCACGCCATACTGCGAATGTGGTGAAGAAGAAAGCACAGAACACTTTCTACTTAACTGTACGAGATACCACCAGGAACTAGAAGAAATGAAAAAAACAGCTGGAGATACATAACATCCCAATAGATCTCCAGACCCTACTAGCACCAGCAAAGAAAGAGACATACGAGAGAACAGCGAATATAATAGAAAATTTAAAGAATTCAGGGCGATTCCAAGATACACTTAGCCCTGAAGAATTCCGATCCTGCGCCTAAACAATTTAACCTAAGTATACAATGTGACATTACTCAGAGAAACTACAGTACCAAGCTGAAACAAGCTAGCACAAAGAGACGAGGTGTGTCGAACTATATTGACCTTAGGATCAGGATCAGGACCCAGGTTTGTACTAGGAGGATTGCACTAACTTCTAGTAGGATCCATGATATTACTACAAACTATACTAGTAATTAGTATGATCATTCTAGATTGCACTGGGTTTATTTTTATTTTAGTTATGCACTTGACAAGTAGAAATACAAGGTCAATTGAACAAAGTCCAAAGAAACATATTGTACGTAAATAAACAAGATCATCTTCTGAATAATAATTTAAAAATACATTTGTATAGTAATAAACAATGGAAGATAATAAAGTACCTAGAATAGCTATTAAACGTATCCTTTCCATTTTTTTATGATAAACACGTGATACTACATATGTATGGTACATGCAAAGGATTGTAACCCAAAATAAGATAAAAAGATGAGATATGCTTGACAATGATCCACAAGATACCAAATAATGTAGATGTACGCAACTATGGTCACCGTACGACCTTCAACAATGAATTAAATCTATACTGTATAGTAAGCTATAAAGGATTCTGACCCTGTTTTGTTCTACAAGTTGTATTGCAAATATCTACGGCACTCCTTCTTTAATTTTGAATTTATCCAAATGGACAATAAATCAAACAACTGGGATTTCATTTCCATAAATTTCTTTAAACTTTTACTAAATTTTTTCATAGATACGAAGGTTTGTTTTGAAGTTTGGTAGTATGTACACGAATCATAAATAACTGGATACCACATCCTTATTTGTTTGTTAATGTTGTTTATAAAGCATGTAAACTTAAATACGATCCATGTAGACTTATTGATCCTGTGAATAAGCCAACTTTTCTTAAAGGATATAATTTTTTTTTAAACCGTAGTAAGATATCTTTGAATATGGTTTTATCGGTACTAACTTTAATTTTGTTTTTGATAAATCAAACATAACTAAACATGTTATAACAGTATACATTAATATCGTCCAGGACAGAGAGCTGAAATCATTCCTTTGTAAGGGAGCTAAATACCAACCCCCGTCAATTATTAATTGGAATGAGTGTCGTAACATCATCCACGACTCACTCCATACTCACTGTATGAAATGGATAAAACGACAAAAATATCCGGAGATTTTTTTTTCAAATCAGTTATGAAAATAGTTGATATTCGTATTAAACATTTTAAAGAACATTTTACTCCTAACAACAACCATAATAGCCCTATTTCTCGTGTCAAATATAAGCACAAAGAACTCGGCAAGGAATTTGTTTTTGTCCCGGCTGATAAGGCTGCCAATACTATCATTATTTGTTTGACGTAAATTTTGTATTGAGATTCTGCAAAAGAAAATCGCGAAATCACCAACATTCCAACTACTAGTACCTCAATTTTCGGGTAATGTCATCGTTAACAAACACAAAACTTTTATCTTCCTCTTTACAAGCAGAACCGAATAACATGAAAGTTCCAACTATGTCCTGGCTTCCGAAGTTGCACAAAACACCTTACCAATATAGATTCATTTCTTCTTCAAGCCATTGATCCACTACTAAACTGTTTATTCTACTTATTAGTACACTTGGTACAATAAAAAACCTGGTAATATTTTTTTTCTAAATAGGCCTACGAAAATAGTGGAATTAATTACTTTTGGAGTGTCAAAAATTCATTGGAAGTACTTGATAAATTGTATGCTCATATTGTTGATTTCGAATCTGTTCAAAGTTTTGATTTTTCTACCCTAAATAACACTTTGTCTCATAATCTCATTAAGAAATAAAATGCTCCGCAGGGCGCAGCTTGATACGACCGCAGAGGTCGAACCCTGAACAGTTGGGGCAAGTATGGACACAACATTCAAGCTTGATACAGCTCTGAATTTGGATTGTGATTAAATATTTGACACAGCATAGGTTTCTGACACAGAATGAATGTGGTCTAGGAACTTAAAAATTTTAAATTGAACATTCACCTATTATGGTCCAATATCCAAAATCTAAATACATGGTTAGATTCAGCATATCAAAGAACCCCAAGAATTCAATTTTTGATGAAATCAAACAAAGTTTAATTTTGGACCCTTTTGACCTCAATGTGGACAAAGTTGATAATGGGGCCCAAAAATCAAAAATCTAAATACATGGTTAGATTCAGCATATCAAAGAACCCCATATTCAATTTTTGTTGAAATCAAACAAAGTTTAATTTTGGACCCCGATTTGGACCACCTTGAAAACTGGGCCCATAATCAAAAATCTAAATACATGCTTAGATTCAGCATATCAAAGAACCCTAAGAATTCAATTTTTGTTAAAATCAAACTAAGTTTAATTTTGGACCCTTTGGACCTTAATGTAGACCAATTTGAAAACGGAACCAAAAATTAAGAATCTAAATACACGGTTAAATTCGACATATCAAAGAACCCCAATAATTCAATTTTTGATGAAATCAAACAAAGTTTAATTTTGGACCCTTTGGACCTCAATGTGGACCAATTTAAAAACGGGGCCTAAATCCAAAAACTTAATACACGGTTAGAATCAGCATATTAAAGAACCCCAAGAATTCAAGAATAAAACCCCATTGAAATTGGTCAAGAAATAAGCAATTTATACGAAGTATCTTCTTTTGCACAATACTGTGCAGTTGAATATTTCTTGCTATTGCGCAATACTGTACAATTGACAATTTCTTGCTATTGCGCAATATTGTGCTATTGGATATTTCTTGCTATTGCACAATACTGTGCAATTGAAGATTTCTTGCTATTGCGCAATACTGTCCAATTGAAGATTTCTTGCTATTGCACAATACTTATTATATAATAATTTACACATCCTGTTTGGTGTGTATCTCCTACCATATCATTATTATTTGCTTTTAAATATAAAACGGAAATATCCAACTTAAAATGGAAAATTTTAAAAGAAAAAAAAAGGAAAAAAAAAAAATCCCCCCCCCCAAATTTTTTGAACCCCCTTATGATTCATCACCCCCAAACTCAATCCCAGCCTTCCCTTTGTGGTATGGTACCTTGCAGTACAATTTCAGAGAGATCCATACACTTGAACACAAGTTATTGTCTGGAAACTAGAAAAATGCTTATTTTTGGCCCCTTTTTGGCCCCTTATTCCTAAACGTTTTGGGCAATTACCCCCAAACTCAATTCCAGCTTTCCCTTTGTGATATGGAACCTTGTAGTACAATTTCAGAAAGATCCATACACTTACACACAAGTTATTATCATGAAACTAGAAAAATGCTTGTTTTTTGCCCCTTTTTTGGCCCCTAATTCCTAATATTTTGAGGCAATTACCCCCAAAATCAATCCCAGCATTCCCTGTGTGATATGGAACCTTGTGGTACAATTTCAGAGAGAGCCATACACTTGAACACAAGTTATTGTCTGGAAACTAGAAAAATGCTTATTTTTGGCCCCTTATTCCTAAACGTTTTGGGCAATTACCCCCAAACTCAATTCCAGCTTTCCCTTTGTGATATGGAAACTTGTAGTACAATTTCAGAAAGATCCATTCACTTACACACAAGTTTTTGTCATGAAACTAGAAAAATGCTTGTTGTTTGCCCCTTTTTTGGCCCCTAATTCCTAATATTTTGAGGCAATTACCCCCAAAATCAATCCCAGCATTCCCTGTGTGATATGGAACCTTGTGGTACAATGTCAGAGAGATCCATACACTAACACACAAGTTATGTCTGGAAGTTACAAAAATGCTTATTTTTGGCCCCTAATTTCTTAACTGTTGGTACCAACAAAATCAATCCCAACCTTCCTTTTGTGATATTGAACCTTATGGTAAAATTTCATAGAGATCCATTCACTTAAACTAAAGTTAGAGTGCGAAAACCAATGTGTATTCGGACGACGCCGGACGACGCCGGACGACGACGACAACGACGACGACGACGACGCCAACGTCATACCAATATACGACCGCAAAATATTTTTGCGGTCGTTTAAAAAATCACATACATAATTAAAAACCAATTGTTCAGAGAACAATTGAAGGTCTTTCCACCCATAAAGATCAATTTTGATATAGAACTATGAAAATTCAGTTTAAAATATCATATCCAGCGTAAAATGATAGCTTATTGTACA